TCAGTAAGGTACTTGGCTATTAATATAATACAGAACTAAAATGGTGAAGTACAGAACTATAATAACTATAGTAAAGGTACACGTTATATTGATAATGTACTAGACTAAGATGGTTAGTACTAGCTATGCTGATGGTATAGTACAAGCTATGCTGACTATGAGGTAAATACAAGCTATAGTAACTCTGTGCTATAACGGTAAGTACAAGCTATGATGATGGTACTAGTTATGATGTCTAAAAGGTATGTACAAGCTATAGTAACACTGAGGTGTGTATTGTGGTAAATATTCTAGGCTATAGTGATAAGTACAAGCTATAATATATAGTGGTAAGTACAAGCTCCACTGACTGCCGATTTGCTACCGGGCTCAATTCAAAGTGCTGGTGTTGGCCTACAAAGCCCTAAATGGTTCTGGCCCAAGCTACCTATCCGAACGTATCTCTGCCTATGAACCCACCAGGACTCTAAGATCTGCTGGGGAGGCCCTGCTCTCAATCCCGCCTGCATCGCAAGCACGGCTGGCGGGGACGAGGGACAGGGCCTTCTCTGTGGTGGCCCCTCGGCTGTGGAACGCCCTTCCCATGGACATTAGATCAGCCCCTTCGTTAATCGTGTTTCAAAGAAAACTAAAAACCTGGCTGTTTGAACAGGCATTCAGATAAATAGTGCAATTGAACGATGAATATAGGAATGGATTTATGGATGACGAATTGGATCACGATTTTAGTTATGAGATGCTAATGTGTTGTTATTGATGTGTCATTATTTGTATATTAGGCTGTTAATGATTTTAAATATTGTATGTTGTACGATTGACTTTTTTGCTCTTGTTGTGAACCGTGTTGAGTCGCCTACGGGCTGAGAAACTGCGGTATACAAGCAAAGTAAATAAATAAATAAATAAATAAATAATGGCTATGTGGTAAATACCAGCTATAAAGGTAAGTATGTGCTATAGAATGCCTGTTTGGATTGCCAGGCCAAGGAACCCAGACAATTTCTGGCCTTCTACTCTAAAAGTCTGGCTCAGAATGAAAAGGAGGGGAAAGCCTTTCAGACAGGTTCTGACGCAAAAGGGCTAAACCAAATGAGCCAGGCTTCAGGGGGGGGGGGGTTAAAACTCCACCCCTAAAACTAAGCGCAAATGGGACAGTCCACACTAAAGGGAGAGCAAAACAAGGAAATGAAACAGAGGAGGGAAAAAGCTAGGCCAAGACACAACACTTATCATGATCAAATTATTTATGTTGTTACTCTGGAAGTGCTTTAAATTTAAGGTGGAATCGAAGTGTTTCATAAATAAATAATAAATGATGGGTTTTTAATTTTCTGCATTCAAATCATGTTCATAAAAGCAGATTCCATTCCTAAGGTTCCATCAGCTCCACTTCAATGTCAAAACTTCCCACTGGAGAAATCATATGGAATCTTGTATCTGATGACCCTGACTTTCTGAAATGAGCTTTCTATTGCAGTTAGGAGACTATCAACATTTCAAAGCTTGAAAAAACTTTTTTTTTCTTCCAGGAGCAATTTTTAAATGGAAATGAAAATGTGTCTTGTTTTGTCTCACCTTCAATCACTCATTCTCGGCTTGGCTGCACAAGACATGGAGCTGGCTTCCCTGATAAACTCAGCTCCTGCTTTCTGCTTCAGTGGGATCTTCACTCACAGATACACATCCAGCGGATCTGGCAAAGCTAATGACATGTGCTCTGTCAGCCCCAGATCTGCAGCTCCCCTGGCTCCCATAACCATGGAGAAAGAGAGAAGCAGACTGCAGTGGAGGGGAAAATGCCTTTCACATAAAAGATATGGCCAGAACAGACGTGTGTTTGTGTTAGTTGTCCTAAGAGGTAGGTCCACAATTGGTGGGGTATATTTTGACTTATGGCCAGGGCCGTAGCCAGAAAAAAATTTGGGTGGAATTAATAGCAAACAAAACTGATAAAACAAGGATTAAAACTTATAACCTTCCTACTCCCCTCCACTCCCCCCGGGAGACGTAGCAACTACAGGTATTTCCTGCATTTTTCTTACTATACTATCTCTTACATATTGTTTTCCCACTTTCCATGTATTTATATATAACTTTAATAAAATTTATAATAAAAAAAACTTATAACCAGCATTTAAGATAGCAATGACCTAGGTAAAAGACTACAAAGGGCAACAGGCATGTTTCATCATGCCATAACATTAAATACTTTAAATTATATGGTTTCAAGTATATTTTATATAGATTTCATTAAATCAAATTTCTATTTTAGTTAAAGTTTCAAGTCTTAAAATAACTGAAAATGATTGCTAATTGATAATTTATAGTTACAAAAGAATACCACAATGTTTGTTAGAAACACTTGAAAACTGTGTCAATACACTTTGACAGAAATCAGGCTCTATTGATAAACTTTGGTGGACACTCAAGAGTGCAAGTCCAGTCAGTATTTCTTGCCGCATTGTGCTTCTTGTATATGTTTTCAAACATTTAAGGGTTGAAAACGACCTTTCATTTGTAGCTGTTGACACTGGCAATGTTGCAGAAATCTGAAGAAGTTTCTTCACATTCAGAAAAAACTGTCCATCACAGACAAGATAAGAAATGCTTCCAGTGCATTTGATGGTTTTTCTTCAGGTGCAATCTCATAGACTTAGCATGGGGATTTGGTTAACCAGTTAAAATTCATGAGTAAACCAGGTTTTTTTTAACATGAAAATTTTCAGGGGAGGGAGTTGAACCCCTATCCAAACCCCCACACTCACCCCACCCCGGCTACAGACCTTCTTATGGCTATTGATTTGCTAATATTTGGTTTCCGTGGAGGAGAATCCTCCCATGTCTACTAAAGCTTTCTTAATGCACCCCATCTTCCAAGACCAGCCCCCTGATTTGGCAGAAGGAAGTAGATGCCTTAGGCAGCTGGGTCTGTGTGTTATGAAATGACAGCAAGTTGTTAATTTTTAAACTTACTGTTGTGTTCCTCACTATTATTGAATAAAGAAGGTGCTTGTGGGATTAGCTGCCTCAGGCATCAAAATAATTGATTCACCCTTGGCTATGCACTTTGAATCATAGAATTGGAAGGGAATGCCAGGGCCATCTAATCCAGGCCCCTTCCATGTAGCATTCACAACTAAAACAATCCTGAAAATGGATATCCGACCATTTCTTAAAGACCACCAAAGGAAGGGTGTCCACTACCCATTGAGGCAAACTAAATTCACTCTCAGATAGCTCTGACAGTAATGTTTAAGTGGAATGTCTTTTCTTGTAATTTATTGATTTGAGTTCTAGCTTCTACATCCACAGAAAATAAACTTGCGACACCTTCTACATGATGCTTCTTTATATATTCAAACATGGCTGTCATATCACCCCACAGGGTGCATCTACACTGTATAATTAATGCCATGACTCAATACTATGGAATGATTGGAGTTGCATTTTTATCCTTTTCTGCCAAATAGTGCTGATACTGGCAACTTTGAGGAAGTAGTGGGGAAACGGGGAGTGGGGGAAGAGGATCAGCAAGTTAGATGTTCCGGCCGAGGCCCTGCTCCTTTCTTCCCTTCTTTTGACACCCCTCCCTCTCCCCTCCAGGTGGTTTGGGAAGGTGAATTGGAGGGCTTCATGGCCAGGGGTGGCTTTCCCCCAGGTTAAACAAACTTGGCGGGTGATAATCCAAAACCTGAGGCAGGGTTCAGGTTGTCCCCCCGAATAAGGCCAATGGGTGGCAGCTCTCTCGACAAACATCTTGCATTCCCCAGATTCAGGTAGTCAAGGGATGTGGGATGGCTGTCCCATGCCATTCCCTCCCCATGTGAGGACCCCCCCACACACACACACACACAACATTCTTAGTGAAATTATAGCCTGGCAAAAGGTATGTTTGCATGTTGCAGGTATCACCAGTCATGACATGGGCCCTTGCCCAATGGTAACAAACCATGTTCAGTGTGGCAGGGCTATAGGTACTCCTTGCTCCCTTAGAAGTGGCTTAGGGGGTCACTATCAGGCCACCAAGTGGGCTTCATTTGGCATCTGGGACTTATTTAGAAATGATGGACTGCCCTTGGATAATGATTTAAATCGGTGACCACTGACTATTTGTTGTTTGTTTTTATATTGTTTTTATATTGTTTATACAGTTTTATACTGTTTATACTGTTTTATATTGTTGTTATTATTATATTGCTGTTAATTGTATATTTATGTTTTGATGTGGGATCCATGGGGTGCCACTTTGTTAGCTGTCTTGAGTCCCTCTGTGGAGGTTGAGAAAGGACGGTATGTAAAAGCCCTAAATAAATAAATAAATAAAATATATAAAGCCTGCTTTTCCTGTCAGTGTAGAACCCTACTAAGATTCACATCATATGTATACTTGATACTACTATTTTAAATGGAAATAAAGTTTAGAGGGGGTTTGCTATTGTTTTTTCTGAGGGTGAAAGAGTAAGTGCTACCTATGGTTGCCCAGTGCATTTCCATTGTCAAGCAGAGATTTAAACTTGGAAATCCAGAACATGGTGTTTGTACACAGACTGCCTCAGTTGCCAACAGAAGGGGAAAGGAAGATTCATCTTAACCCAGGCCAAGATTTAGGTAAGGTTGTCTTGTCCGGGTTAACAAAATCAGTCCTGTGTGGTGTTTCAATACTATGAGGCTGATATTCATATAGTGGTCAGTGTAGACATCCCCCAAAAAATGAATCAGCAAAAGGCTTCCTTTTCTGTTAATCCACTCCTGCAATTTGATCTCTATGACTTTTCTTTAATGTTTTTATTTCCTTTCTCACCAACCTGTATAAAGTAAATCAGACCAAAAAAGGCACATTTGTTTGGGTTCCAGATAATAATGGGTAAAGCAAGATTATCAGAACATAGAATGTGATTCAGTGAAATGTCAATCATATAAGATTATTCACCCATGGATATTTCCGTATTATTTTTATTTCCTTTCATCCCCACCATGTGGAGAAAAGCAATTCACATCAACACAGATACCCACTTCATGGTATCTAATGTGTGCCTTCAACTCAATTCTGGTTCATCTGCAGCAGAAGAACTTCACGTCATTAAGGGCTGTGTCATCACGCTTCATTTGGGGAGCCTCCACCTTGGTCTGGATTCCACAGATGGAAGCAGAATGGCAGTGATGGCTCCAATGACCAAAACGACCCCGTTTTGTTACGTGTCTAGCGATTACACTTCCATCCTGGCACATGAACTGGATATTGTTGGCTGCCGTATCATCACCTTCCCTTTGGTTTCTTTCCACTCTCAGAGAGAAAGAGACCAGATTGCCTTTGGGGCAAATTTTAACTTTTGTCCATTTTCCCTTCCTGCCAAAGAAAACAAATTATGTTAGCGAGATTGTTGAGCATACAGTGTTCCAATCCAATCCAAATTGGAGGTGTTGGTGATAAATTCTTAAACAGTTTGGTGATAAAGTCCTAACAGTTGGAAGGAATATTAAACTGCTTCAGGACTGAGGTCTGTTGGTCTGTGAAATTCAGGGCCATTCAAGGCCCTCAACTTTTGGTCTAAGTTTGAGACAAAAAAACAAGGTTTTTGGTGATGACATTAAGTGTTATGCAGTAAGTATTGATCAAAGCTTATCATTGATTCTATGATTCTATGATTCAAATACATACATAGAGAATATCTAACTGGCTTGAACATTAAGACATAAATCTTACTTAAAATGTCTAACAGAGCATAGTGAAATGAAGTGATTATGCTTGCTCTTACTTATAGAGCTAGAAGCATATTCCAACAATATTTGGAGGGCTTTATGTTTCCCAACCCTGTCATAGATCCAGATCAAAATGTTTTCATCTTATTTAAATTATTTATGCTTTAAATCTGAAAGTATTTTGCTTGTAAAAAAAAAAAGAAATAAATAGTCTTAGCTTTGTATCATGGGTCAGTTTTAATTGTATCTTTTACTTGAGCATCACTTTTCCACAAAGGAGGGTCAATTTCAAGTCTGAATTCCTTTCCCAACCTCAGCATGATGGTGGGAAAGCACTTTGCTCCCTTACAGTGAGAGAGAAGGCTAAAGAATCCTGGCTGGGACTTGTTGTGGGTGGGGACACCAGGAGCACTCTGTCCACCCTGCTCATTCCTTCGTCAACACTGACCCACCCACCCATCTCCACAACACTAAACTTTGCAAGGGCCAGGTACAAATTCCCTCCTCCCCCCCCCCCCTTACATTCTAGGGGAAATTTTCACCTATCCTACACTGCTTAATACATGGCAAATTGGGTGAGTGAGTTCTAAATAGACTTCACTATGCGAAATAGAAATAGGTACACATTAGTGTGCACCACAGGAAATAGGGGATGGGGGCTCAGTTCTCCACCCGTTTACCCAATGCAACATTTGGATTGCATTCTGGGACCGTGGTTTCTCACCCATTGTTTGAGGATGAGTTGATCTATGATGGCCACTGCTTCTTTCTATTACACAACAAATTGAAGTGTAAGTTCAGGTTCATGGACAAGTTCAAGTTTATGTTCATGCCTTCAAATTAATTGGCAGATCACACGAGATTAATTGGTAACATATACTAAAAGTTGCCCATATTTAATCCAAAATTTTGTGTTGTCTCGTGATTTCACTGGTGGAAGAGCAAATGGGTTCCTTGGGTCAATTAGTTTTATCTTTTTTCCACTACTTCTTCTCTTGCCCTTTCCCTCTGGGCACAAAGCAGGACCAACCCTAGACATTTTGCTGCCTGATACAAAAGCCACAAGATGCCAGTCAATTTACTAGATCAGGTACTATCTACATATGCTGTAAAATCCAGAATGATGTGGGGTGGCAGGATAACGCCTAATGTGCACTGTAATGTGCATCCATCCATTTTAAAAGTCAGGATTAAGTCTGCAATCTGCAATAAATGTGCTGCAGCAGATTAGTGTATGGATGTGGCAGAGCAAGAATTCAGGAGCAATATGTGCAGTTCCCATGTGAACAGTACCACCACTGGAAATTTGAAGGAAGGAATTGAATATGGCACTCACATGAAGGTAAACAAATACCACCACCACCCCACCACCCCCATTTATATTTTTCAGTTGGAAGATGAGTTGCATCGCTGATTCTAATCTGATAGGCTACTGCAGCACATTTCTCCCAACAGGGTAAGGAAAAAATATTGCTTTGTTGGATCAATTTGGCATAAAGGGAATTTTGTGGACCGCTGGATCTTTTCCTCAGTTTCTCAGATTGCATATGAGACTCTGCAGAATGGAGCTGCATTTCCTTAATCCACATTCTGACCTGGATTATGTGGCTGTGATCTGGATTATGTGGCTGTGTAGAAGAACCTGAAAGAACTTTCTTGCTCTCTGATGGTAAACATACAGTGATACATGACATGTACCACAGTTTTCCAGCTTTTCATGCATGCCAGATAGGCATTACTTATACATTTTCTTAGCTTATGTTTTTTGGTACTGTTTCATTATCTGGATGGAGGCTACTAGGGGGCACTAGAGAGAGAAGGATAATTCATTTTATGGGGGAGAGTTGAAGGAAGAAAAACATTTCCTTAATTTTTGATGGTTATTCTTCCTCCCCTCCCCCTTCCCATATAATAGATTCCATAACAGGAACTGTGACGTTGCGAGTGGTGCCACCTATATATAGAACTGTTAGTTGCAAGATTTAAACTGTTGTATCATGCTTAATTCTGCCCCCTTTACCCTGCTTATGTATAGTTGTATGGATTGGTTACTTATAGCTATCAATCAGTACTGTTTGGCTCCACCTCTTCCTGCAGGAGGGGAGTGCTTCCTTTTTTTCATTCTGCCATCAGAGTTCCTACCATATGGACGTGAGTAAGAGACTTGACTCTAAAAGACCCTGATTTAAGTTACCTCTTACCACCAGTTCTGAGGTTTTTTACCCTTGAGACTTGTGCTTCATGTTCAGACCAACCTGAACAATGTTGGAAGTCTCAAGTGCCTTCAATCCAGTTCTTTTGGCACCAAAGGAAGATCCTGAGCCTTCAAAACATAGGCCATCTGAACTGGGGTTGTGGTTTGCTCCGGCATTCACAGCCATTGAGGAAAGAGGAAACTTGGTGAGGCTTCTCAGCTTCAAACACCTTGGACCCAGGACTAATTGAGACTGTAACGTATATTTTCCTTCACCCCTCTGAATTTTCCAGCTCATTGCTTTAGAGAAATAACTCTTTGTGATCAATAAAACATTTTTGAGTTATTTACAGTGTTTTGGGTTTTTGAGAGTTCCAGTTTCCTATAGGAGGGCAAGAAGCAATCCCTTGGGGGAAAGATGCCACGTCCATCCCTCTTTCATTAAGAAAAATAGCCCCCAAGTGCGACGGCACAGGGACATGTGTGGGGGGAATAACAGGAAAATGGGAAATGATTTTCCTAATGTAACCCACCCTCCTTCCCCATAAAACGGACTATCCTTCTCTCTCTAATGCCCCTAGTGGCCTCTGCCTGGATAATGGAAGAGTACCTGTTTTCTTCTTCATTAATAACTTTCTCAACACTGAGTACATTTTGATGCTGTTTGTTTATCCTTGTTTTCATGTGTGAAAAGTTAGAGGATATGAGATAAAAGATTGTAGCCTTGGCTATCCAAGCATCCCCTTCCAAATGATAACACCAAAGAGAAAGTGAAGCATAAGCAAACAAACTGAATACTCACGGTCCAGTTGTAGACTGTATTACTTCTCTATTACTACAATACAGGCGAATTCCATTCAAGCCTGTGTCATCCCGTAAACCTTGATTGGCTTCAACCTGGTGACAGAAAAAATAACAAGACTAATGTAAAACTGTGGATAAATCCAGGATTACAACAGTGGAAATCTGTCCACGAGGAGAGGATACAGTGTCAGTTAGAGAAATGTAGAAATTGTTGCCAAATCTGAGACTCCATTACAGATGAAGGAATGCAAGATATTAACACAGGTTCACCATTTCCATTTAGAGCAGTGGTTCCCAACCTGTTGTCCGTGGCCACCAGTGGTCAGCAAGAACTAAAATATAGTCTGTGGCCTCACCATTACTACACTGTTGCAATGAGAGTGACTGGTCTCACGAAACCCTCAGTTACTTATTTATTTATTGCATTTATATACCGCTTTTCTCACCCTTGGAAGTGGTTCACAACATGATCAATGGCAAAATTCAATGCCTCACATGTACAAAATATCATATATAAAATCAATAACATAACAATAAGTTAAAACCATTAAAACTGTAAACTATAACAATCACAAAACTAACATAAAACATTTGAAGATTGCATCAATCCCGGGTGTCTTTGGCTACTTCCATATTCTCAAAATTCTTTAATTCTCCAAATGCCTGCTTGAGTAACCAAGACTTAAGTTTTTTCCTAAACAACTTAAGAGGAGGGAGGGGGCTGAACTAATCTCCCTGGAGAGGGAGTTCCACAGCTGAGGGGCCACCACCTAGAAGGCCCTGTCTCTTCAAGGCTTATTAAATATGATCTTCTGTGGGCAAGCAGATGACAACTTCTGGATGGCATGTGTTCTGTATCAGAAACTAGAACTGATGTGGTCTATCCAGTGCAATTTTCTGAATTAGCACCCAAATAACCAAACTGAATCTAAAGTTGACCAAAAACCAGTTCGTTACCCTTTTGGTACTAATATTGTAGAGTGGTCCCTGGTCAAAGTGGCCCCTGGTCAAGTGGTCCCTGGTAAAAAAAAAAAAGGTTGGGAACCACTGATTTAGAGTGCCATTGCTATGGATATGGCACAGCATAGAGGTGGTCAAAAGGAACATCCTGTACTACAATTCACACAGCCAATGGTCCCAGGGACAAACAGGGATGGTCACCTTTCTTACAGCATGCCTGAATGATGGCACAGCTACACCAATTTGCTGCTCTGTATCAGAATTCTTGTTGGGAAGGGAACTCTGCTCTGTTCAATTTCTTAATTTTTAACATTTTAATTTTTTTTGAAATTATTTTTTCAATGAACTTTTTAGGTTGGAGAGGGAGTAGGAGAAAGAGGGAGGGCTTCAAAATTCCTCTTCCTGATCTAAGTATCCTTCCAATGCCAGCACAGAAGCGCTCAGGCCTCATCACACCAGGTAAATTCTGCTACTGTGCCATGATCAGAGGCTATTGATAGGTTTTGACCATCAAAAGCTGGCATCAGATTCATTGTGGGAGGTAGCAAACAGACAATGGGTATTGCAAAGGTAAAGGTCCTGTTTCTGTGCTGATTTGTCACCTCAGTACATTAAAGTACATTTCAGAAAGGATAGTAGTTTAAAAATGAAGAATAGTCCCAAAAATTGAGTGGTAGGTGTAGGAGGCAATTTGAAAGAAACTGACACAAATCACAAAGGTAACCCAAGGTCAGAAAGCAACAAATTGACCAAATTGTTTTTATTTATTTACTGTAGGTTTTCATGGTTTTATTTATTTACTGTAGGTTTTCATGTAAACCTCACAACCTCTGAGGATGCTTGCCACAGATGCAGGCAAAACATCAGGAGAGAATGCTTCTAGAACATATTTACTATTTATTTATTTTATTTGTATCCCATCTTTCTCCCAATATATGGACTCAAGATGGCTAACAATAAATATAAAGCAATGCAAATTAAAACAATATAATTGTTTTAATTGAAATGTGAGCATTATAAACAATTAAAACAATTATGTCATTAACCATTAAATTATTGAAATGCATTAAAATTCAACACTTCCTCAAAAATCCCAGCCATACCATTTCTCAGAAGCACACCCCTCATAAGTTCATGAATGCCTAGTGGCAGAAGAATGTCTTCACATGCCTAGAAAAGGCAAGCCAGGGATGGAGCCACACTGGTTTCTCTAGGGCAGGAGTTCAAGAGTCTGGGTACAGACACCAAAAGGAGAGATTGAGGACCTGCATGATGGAGTTACAGTGCACTTCAAGGCTTTTCAAAGAGTGAAAATCCTCAACATAGCCCCGATAAGTAGTTTTGTCTGAAGGAGTGAGTGACTGTTTCAAAATGGGATTAGTAGGGTGGAAAAAGCCCTACCGTAGCAAGCTTCAAGTCTCCCAATCAATGATCAATGTCGAATGGGGCAGCAAATACTGGAATATAGAGTTGTCGCACTAAAGTAGCCTGGCATGGCAGTGGGCCCTGCCAATTAGATAGATAGATAGATAGATAGATAGATAGATAGATAGATAGATAGATAGATAGATACTTAGATAGATGATAGATAGATAGATAGATAGATAGATAGATAGATAGATAGATAGATGATAGATAGATAGATAGATAGATAGATAGATAGATAGATAGATATAATTGTGTCCAATTCTGGGCACCGTAATTGAAGGAAGATGTTGACAAGCTGGAAAGTGTACAGAGGAGGGCGACTAAGATGATCAAGGGTCTGGAGGACAAGCCCTATGAGGAGCAGCTTAAAGAGCTGGTCATGTTTAGCCTGCAGAAGAGAAGGCTGAGAGGAGACATGAAGGTCATGTATAAATATGTGAGGGGAAGTCATAGGGAGAAGCTTGTTTTATGTTGCCCTGGATACTAGAGCACTGAACAATGGCTTCAAACTTCAGGAAAGGAGATTCCACCTTAACATGTGGAAGAACTTCCTAACGGTGAGAACTGTTCAGCAGTGGAACTCTCTGCCCCAGAGTGTGGTTGGAGGCTCCTTTTTCAGAGGATTTGAAACAGAGGCTGGATGGCCATCTGTTGGGGGTGCTTTGAAGGCAATTTTCCTGCTTCTTGGCAGGGGGTTGGACTGGATGGCCCACGAAGTCTCTTCCAACTCTATGATTCTATGATTCTATACATACATAGGACATCCCACTCTAATTATTCCCACTCTATGAGAAGACCAGAAAACTTCCAGGCCCTAAGATGTCTACTAATGTTAAGGTACCTAATGTAGATTTGAACCTCACCATTTTAGACTGGCATTCTTGCCACTGAATAGACTCAGAAGCAGAGTGGGCAGATCAAAAGACAACCTGGCAAAATGGCACTACCTAAACGAACCCCAAACTTTGTGTGACTGCGGAGCAAAACAGACAACTCCGCATCTATATGCTTGTCCACTGTGCCCTGCCTCAAGTACAGAGGAGGAATTGTTGGAGGCTACAGACAATGCCATTGCTGTTGCCCGTTTTTGGTCAAAAGATATTTAGCTGCCTGCACGCCTTCTATTTTTATCAGTTTTATACTAATTTATGCAATGCTTTTGATACGAAATAAGTAAACCACTGCATTACAATACAACATACAACCTGTTGACATGAAAGCTCATTTATTTCAAATGGGCTTTGAGGCAAAGGATACTCGGAAGTGGTTTTCTCTGAAATAAAGCCTACATCGCCTGGTTTTCATTAGCAATTTACTATCCAAGTACTAAGCATAGCTGACTCTGATCAGCTTCCAAGATCTGATAGAATTTTGAATATTTAGGATGTCTGTGTGCAGTGACATCCCAAAAATAAGCAATGCTTCATTGTGTCTGTCTTAGGTAAAGGTAAAGGTAAAGGTTTTCCCCTGACATTGTCTAGTTGTGTCTGACTCTGGGCGTTGGTGCTCATCTCCATTTCTAAGCCAAAGAACCGCGTTGTCCGTAGACATCTCCAAGGTCATGTGGCCAGCATGACTGCATGGCGCGCCGTTACTTACCCCACCACAATTTTGTTAGCAGGAGCACCCTCTCTTTCGCAGACATATTGAACTTTAACACTGCTCTAGGACCTATGTTATTAGATCAAACTTTCTCAACCCAGTGAGACCATTAACACCCATTATGCTTGATTAACTGCTATGTTGGCTAGGATTGTACTCTAAATTATTTGAGGTTTTCCACACAGTGTCTGAAAAGGAATAAGAACTTACCTTTACTGAAAAGCCTCTAGCATAACCTTTGGAGCAAAACTGAGGTTTTCCCCATTTACCCCAAGAGCCTCCATTTTTCACTGAAATAATAGAATTATATCTTCGGGCCTCTGCATTCCAGAGGCAATAGGGAAGGATCAGGAAGAGCAGACTGCTGATGGAGAAAACCATTGTACCAAATGCGCTGAGCCTAGGTGCAAAAACCTAACTGAAGAGCACCAGCCTTGAATATTTATAGCCTGGGTATTTGAGCTGACTCACATCTGTAAACCAGGAAATTATCTAAGAACATTGTGCGAAAGAAAGAGTTGCTTAGAATTTTGGTTGGGACTGATCCAAAGATGTGTCAACCATTGATCTTTCCTTTGTCCTGCTAGTATACTAGATTTATTTTTTTTTTATTTATTTATTGGATGTAGAAATTTTCATCTGTCACCCTTAGAATGGCAGCAATGAGATTTTCAGCTATTCAAGTGATGTAGCAAAAATCCTCATGCTAGGCTACAAAATAAATTGGGTAATAAATCTAATTTTAAAAAAATTGCCACACACTGAAGAATTCACTCATATAAGGGACTCATGGTTGTGAAACTTGTGTTAAGGAAACATTGGTGAGAAAAAAAAGGGGAAAATGTAAATAAATACCTATGATCCATGGTCTTCAGTGATGCAACAAAATGAACGCAGAAAGAATGGATAATAAATAAGATGAACATGAACTCTTAATACAAAGTCCATCTATCAGTGTACACCTATGAGAGTTCCCACACTACCCTCACTTTGAAAGAATAAGCTCTGGCTGCTTTTCCCCGCTCTTAATACAACAAAGCAAATATATAAATAGTATCACTGAAACCTGGTTGTATGAGTCTATGATTGCAATATAGTAAAGGGGGGTGCAGGGGCGGCTCAACCATTATGCAAAGTAAGCCTTTGCAGTATAGTTGATTTTGCCCAGGAGCGCTCTTGAGGCACTCTTGGGGGAAAATACACCTTGACATATGCGAGTTGTAGTTACTAGGATGTATAGTTCACCTACAATCAAAGAGCATTCTGAACTCCACCAATGATGGAAATGAACCAAATATGGCACACAGAACTCCCACGATGAACAGAAAATATATATCAGTGATTGGTTGGTGGGGGCGTGCCAAAATACTTTTTGCTTACCATTGAAAATTACCTAGGGCCGCCTCTGGGGGGGAGGAGTATAACCTATTTCTGAAAACTAGACCAAACATGAAAGAAGGAGAAGTAAAACTAAATATCAAGGAATTTACACCTGTGAGGAGGATCATTATTTATTTATTTATTTATTTATTTGGGGTTCTTTTACCCCGCCCTTCTCACCCCGAAGGGGACTCAGGGCGGCTTACAAAAGCAAAGGCACAATTTGATGCCTGCATCATAAAGACAATCAAACACAGAATTACATCAATACACAGTTAACAACAAATATACATTATAACCATAAAATCAATAAAATCAATAAAACCAAATACAAACCCAATTTCTCCTCTTACATGGTCAGCGTTCGCTACTCATAGATCTAGTTTTACGTTCCACTTCATCAATCCTGCTGGTCTTACTCGCCTGGTTGTCTGATTTAGTTGCCGGAGTGCCCAAAGGCCTGGTCCCACAACCAAGTCTTCACCCTTCTCCTAAAGGCGAGGAGAGATGATGATGCCCTGATTTCCCCCAGGAGTGAGTTCCACAGGTGAGGGGCTACCACTGAGAAAGCCCTGCTCCTCGTCCCCACCAGCCTCACTTGTGACAGTGGTGGGGTCGATAGCAGGGCCTCCCCAGATGATCTCAGACTCCGGGGTGGGACGTACATACATTACATACATCCTGGAAGCCAGGTTGAGAGTATCTGGGAAAACTTAAGAGAGAAAGAAACAAGAGGGATGCCATTGTTGGGATCTTCTACAAACCTCCAAGTCAGACTGAAGACCTGGATGGTGTCTTCCTAAAACAGATGACTATATATATTCAGAAAGGAGAGATATACAATAATATTGATGGGAGTTTTTAACTCTGCTAATATTTATTGAAAGACAAACTTTGCCAAGAATATCAGGTCCAAGAAATTTTTCACTTGCCTTGCAGACAATTTCATGTTCTAGAACAGGGGTCCACAAACTTTTTAAACAGAGGGCCGGGTCACAGTTCCTCAAACTGTTGGAGGGCTGGATTATAATTTGAAAAAAAACATGAATGAATTCCTATGCATACCACATATCTTATTTGTAATGCACAAAAACACTTAAAAACAATACAATAATTAAAATGTATAAAATTTTAACAAATATAAACTTATTAGTATCTCAATGGGAAGTGTGGGCCTGCTTTTGGCTTATGAGATAGGATTGTTGTCATTGTATTGTTGAAGGCTTTCATGGCTGGAATCATTAGGTTCTTGTGGGTTTTTTCGGGCTATAGGGCCATGTTCTAGAGGCATTTCTCCTGATGTTTCGCCTGCATCTATGGCAAGCATCCTCAGAGGTAGTGAGGTCTGTTGTCGTTGTGTGCTTTCAAGTCATTTCAGACTTAGGTTGACCCTGAGCGAGGGCCGGGTAAATGACCTTGGAGGGCCGCATCCGACCCCCGGTCCTTAGTTTGAGGACCCCTGTTCTAGAAGATAGAAGAGGAAACAAGGGAATTGGTTATTTTAGATCTGATGTTAATCAACAATTTGGTTGTGTGTGTGTGTGTGTGTCAAGAGCGACTTGAGAAGTCACTTCTGGTGTGAGAGAATTGGCCATCTGCAAGGACATTGGCCAGGGGATGCCCAAATGTTTTGATGTTATATCATTTTTGTGGGAAGCTTCTCTCAGGTCCCCGTATGGGGAGCAGGAGCTGACAAAGGAAACTCATCCATTCTGTCCCTGAATTCGAACTTGTGACCTGTCAGTCTTCAGTCCTGACATCAAAAAGTTTTAACCCGTTGTGCCACCGGAGGCTCCTTAATCAAGTGTGAGGACCTGGTAAATGACATGATAAAAACAATTAAAAGGGGTTTTTTATTATTATTGTGTCAATAGCAAAAGGAAAGACAAAGAAATGGTTGGGCAATTGCATATAGGCCATGGCGAAATGTTAACAGAACAGAGAAAGACATGATCAGAATCCAAAATGGCCTTCACAAATTATAGACCTGGGCCAAAACTTAAAAAAAAAGTTTCAACAGTAAGGAATGTACTACACTTTGACAATAAAAATGAAATGCACAGATAGGATGGGTGACATCTGGCTTGAAACCAGTCCATGTAAAAGGGATCTAGGAGTGCTAGTAGACCACAAGCTGAACATGAATCAACAGTGTGATGCAGCAGCTAAAAAAGAGACTAGGGCACCGAGTAATAGATTCAAACTTCAGGAAAAGTGATTCCATCTAGGAAGAACTTTCTGAAGTAAGAGCTGCTTGGCAGTGGAATATCCTGCCTTGTTATATGGTATAATCTTCTTCTCTGGAGTTTTTATTTATTTTTTATTTATTTATTTATTTATTTTATTTACCTTACTTATATACCGCTGTTCTCAACCTGAAGGCGACTCACAGCAGTTCACAACAAATACGAACAGCAAAAATTCAGTGCTACAGTATAAAAACAGTTAACAACCTAACACATTACACAATTAATAAACAGTTACTACAATACCCATTCACTGTCGTCTCGTCATCAAAAACATGTTCCAGATTCGTCATCCATTGTTCCATTCCAGTGTTCATTAACCAACCATTGAACTAATTATTCGAACGCCTGCTCAAACAGCCAGGTCTTCACTTTTTTGCGGAATACCATTAGAGATGGTGCTAGTCTAATGTCCGTAGGAAGGGCGTTCCACAGCCGAGGAGCCACCACCGAGAAGGCCCTATCTCTCGTCCCCGCCAGCCGTGCTTGAGAAGCAGGCGGGATCGAGAGCAGGGCCTCCCCGGAACATCTCAAAGTCCTGGTGGGTTCATAGGCAGAGATGCGGTCGGATAGGTAGCTTGGGCCGGAACCGTTTAGGGCTTTAAAGGCCAACGCCAGCACTTTGAATTCAGCCCGGTAGCAGATGGGTAGCCAGTGGAGTTGGCGCAACAGGGGGGTTGTATGCTCCCTGCGCTCCGCTCCTGTTAAAATCATGGCTGCCGAGCGTTGGACTAGTTGGAGCTTCCGAGCTGTCTTCAAAGGCAACCCCACGTAGAGAGCGTTGCAGTAGTCTAAACGGGATGTAACCAGAGCGTGGACTACCGTGGCCAAGTCAGACTTCCCAAGGTATGGGCGCAGCTGGCGCACAAGCTTTAACTGTGCAAATGCTCCACTGGTCACCGCCGAAACCTGGGGTTTCAGGGTCACACCCAAGCTGCGAACCTGCGAGCAGAGACTGGATGGCCATCTGCCTAGAGTGCTTTGATCATGTGTTACTGTGTGGCACAGTTGGACAGGATGCCCCTTGTAGTCTCTTCCAACTGTATGATTCTATGAAAGGGGAACTCCACATTGTGTCTTGTATGGGATAAGGCAAAAATGTATATAAAAGTCTCAGGTGCTGGGAGTTCTCAATTTGCCTTTGTGCTTTGAGTCTTTAATGCACAGTAAAACCAATAAAACAATTCCTGCTAAAAAAACAACAACTGGTTAGCCACAAGGTATAACACAAGAAAGAGAGAAACCCATTGTTCATAATTATCAAGCATTTATCTCTCCTGTCCTTTGAAATCTATACAGCAGGGGACATGCTGTTCATGTTAATAGATAGGGAATTTTATGACACTGCACACAATCACTCTGTCCCACAAAGATACTAATACTCTTATTGTGGAAACAGTTTCAGTCCTGGGCTGACATCTGGCACTAATTCAGTCCTATATATATATTTGTTTAGTGATATCCACTCTGCAAAAATTGTGGGTTTTGAGCCCGGCGTTTCTAGCTCCAAAATTGAATGAAACATGGACAGATTGAAGGCTAAAGGAAAAGAGGAATGTATTCACTTGGCTAAAGCAGATGCTCAAGGCAAATATACAAAAATATTTATAACACCTGGACAGTAGTTTGAAACAAAGGGCTTTGCCTCCCTGGAAGCTGATTGGCTTACCCTGGGGCCAGCTAGGGTCCACAAGCCACTTGGCTAGGACATATTTTCTGCCAATGTTTCTGACTGGTCTCCAGGATTGGGGGGAA